CAATCGACCTAATTCTGCTAAACTATTGGCGGTCACACTACGGCAATAAAGCCAGTAATATTTATGCAAGGCGGCGGCCGCTCCAGAAATCGGCACTTAGGTTATCGACACCACTCAATTTCGCGAATAGATTTCGGATTTTTCTACTATTGAGTGCATAGAAATATACACAATGTATTAGAGCAGGGATGGTCAACACGCGGCCCGCACGCCGCTTGCGGCCCGAGAAAAATATGCGGCCCGCCAAGCGTTTCTAAAATTGTTTTTTTGACATTTTCCCATCAATATTGTTGTTATAAAATTGAGAATAGATTTCGGATTTTTCTACTATTGAGTCCATTGGAAGATATACAATGTATTAGAGCAGGGATGGGCAACACCCGGCCCGTTAAAAATGTTGATGCACTAATATGCGGTCCGCCAAACATTTCTAAAACTTAATTTAAATTTTCAACTTTTTCCCTTCTATATTGGTCATATAAAATTGCGAAAAGATTTCGGATTTTTCTACTATTGAGTGTATAGAAATATATACAATATAGTAAAGCAGAGATGGTCAACACGCGGCCCGCATACCGTTTGCGGCCCGCTAAACAAGTTTATACGGCCCGACAAGTAGGTATTTCTTAAATTGAAGTAATTTTTTTAACTTTCTCCTATGAATATTGTTGTTATAAAAATAATTGTATTAAAACGGTAGTAAATATTAAACGGAAACATTTATTTCTGCCATGTTATTCACTTGTCGGCGACTTGTTCGCACATGCAATACGCGCCGCGTCTGCACGAGTTTTTATTTTGCATTAAAAGTTGTATATGAAATCTGTTTACAGTAAATTCTCGTCAACAACATAATAGCAACGTAAGCAGTAAATCTCGTTAAGTCTGCTAGCATAGTGCAATCGGTCCTTCTAAGTCTTTATGGTCATCATTATAGTTTATTCTTAGAAAAAAAAACTAAAGAGTTTATTATAAGTAAAATTCTGTACATAACTAACAAGTGTTACTATATATCCCGCATATATAGTAAATAAAAAAAAATAAAAAATTAACTAAGAAGTTTATTATAAATAAAATTATGTAAATAACTAACAAGTGTTACTATAAATGCGGGCCGCCTAAATTTTTTTAAATTTAAATTAGCCCGTTGATGAAAAATGTTGATCACCCCTGTACCCCTCCGATCGATCCCCCGTCCAATTCAAACGGGGATCGAAATTACGACGGCCTGAGCCGAGGTTCGACCCCTAGTGGTGCCCTCAGACTAAAGTCGTATCCGTCAGGCAGGAGTTGGCCTTCAGCCGCTCCATAAGTCCTTCCGCGGGTTTGGAGTGCCATCTGCACTCGCCCCTATCGTCCGGTGAAGCTGTAAAGGCCAGCTACGGCCAACAGCATTAGAGTAGTCCGAAAAAAAAACCCCTGTATTAGAGCCATAAAAAGAGGCTCTCCGCATCGGAGTTATAAAAATAGACCAGCATAGTGCAGTAACTCCTTATAAGTTTTATGGTCATAATTATAATTTATTAATAGAATAAAAAATATATAAAATTAACTAAAAAGTTTATTATAAATAAAATTATGTAAATAACTAACAAGTGTTACTATAAATGCGGGCCGCTTAAAATTTTTTAAATTAGTGAATGTATTTTAATTTATATTTTAACTTAATTTAATATTAATTTTTGATATTATTGGTATTATTATTATTTTTGTGTGTGTATTTTGTGTCTGTAGTCTGTACGTACTAACATTAATTATAAGAAATCTGTAATACTAACAAAGTGGGCAATTAAGCCTGATAATAAATACATTATTATTATTAAATTTAAATTAGCCCGTTGATGAAAAATGTTGATCACCCCTGTTAGAGCCATAAAAAGAGGCTCTCCGCATCGGAGTCATAAAAATAGATGTACAGCGCGTAACGCGCGTTCCGCATCGATAATTCAAGATTACTTACCGCAGACGTTGCCGATAGATTTCTCATTTCTAGTATTTACTTAGGTCTATGTGGATGCGAAATTGACACTTGCAACGTGGCGTTAAAGCTCATATCGCTGTGTGTGCGAGTTAATATTGATAATTACGTTATATATTTTATTACCAATAGATTTGTGTTTTAGACACTTGCAATAAAGCTTAAATCTCTTTGTACGCGGCTGAAAATTCCTATTTTGAAAATTATTTAATTTATATTATTTAAAATAGTTATACGTCAACCTAATTTCATCCTTGCTATGTGGTCGTAAAGCTTAAATCTCTTTGTACGCGGCCTAATATTCCTATTTTGAAAATTATTCAATTCATTTTATTTAAAATAGTTTTACATCAACCTAATTTGATGCTTGCTATGTGGTAGTAAAGCTTAAATCTCTTTGCACGCGGCCTATTGTTCCTATTTTGATATATATTTATAATATTTTTACGCCAATCTAATTTGATGCTTGCAACGTGGTAGTAAAGCTTGAATTGCTCTGTACTACATACACATATATTTTTAAATAATTTCATACTTTTTTATTGAAAATTAAAAGTATTTTTACTATTGTTCTTACGATATGTGTTCATTCATGTTTTACTTTTTTTTTGTAATTTATTTTTAAATGTAATAAATATATGAACAAAAATATTTAAGTATTTATTTGAATAATAGAAATAATATCTACAGATCGTGAAGCCTGTTTCACTGTTCATCATTGATATCTAAACCAGATTGCATTCCCTGACTATGTTAGCTACAGTGCATTATCATTTTATCAAATCATAATTTCCAACTGTATACTTATAATTAGGTTGGTCGAGCGCAGTGATGGCTGGCTCATCCGTCATACTCGTGAACGAATAATTTACTCTTATTTAGTTACTCAAACAGTTGTGTATTTAAGATTTAAATAATCCTTGCAAGTTTACAATCGACTTGTAAATGTATACTTAAGGAATATTAAAAGAGCAACACGCAAGTTTCTCGCTCGTTCTTCTTGTGATGAGACAGCTTTCCGAACGAGCGGTAGATTAAAAAAAATGTTATGACTATTCAAAAGTGCTTTAATTAGGTTTATTTGAACAAATGAATTTCTATTCTATTCTATTCTAAATTTTGACGAATTAGTGCCATTTGGTAGTTTAAATTCACACAGTTAAATTTAAAAATGTCAAGTTACAACAATTATTTAAATAGCTACACGCAAGTTTCTTGCTCGTTCTTTTTGTGCTGAGACAGCTTTCCGAATAAGTAGTAGACTAAAAAATGAGCATGGCTGTGCATAAAAATGCATAAATTTAAGTTCATTTGAATAAAAAAAAATCTATCCTATTCTACTAGCCTACTATGTATCTACATACAGAAATATTTGGATGCATGTATGTTTGTTACTCTTTCGTCTAATTACTGAATGGTTTTTAATGAAACTTTATACTAGACGTAGATGTAGCAAGAAATATATATCTTACTAATATTATTGACCTCCGTTGTCTAGCGGTCTAGCACACCGCTTTACGTTCGATGGTCGCGGGTTCGATTCCTCGCACGGCACAAACATTTGTATTCATGAGTATGATTGTTTGGATCGGTCTGGGTGTTTTCTATGTATAATTTGATACGAAATTAAATGATATTTTTATGTATCAATACATACATATTTCATAAATATGTATGTATTTATGAAAATAAAAAAATATATGTACCTTTATCTAGTACCCATAACACAAACTTTAGCTAGCTTAACTTGGGACTAGATGGCGCTGTGTGAATTGTCCTGAGATTATTATTATTATTATTATAAATATATATATATATATATATAAACGATGAAGTTTGTAAGTGTCAATGGATGGATGTTTATTACTCTTTCACGCAAAAACTACTGAATGGATTTTAATGAAACGTTACAATCATATAGATTATACATCAGAATCATTACATAGTATAAAACAAAGTCGCTATCGCTGTCCGTCCGTTGCTTTTTTGAATGGATGTTAGAGCTACGCCACAACTCTCTCAAATGAAAATTCAAAATATCTTTATTCATATAGGTCTATTACAAACTCTTATGATATGTCAAATGTACCGTCAGTTTGGAATGATTCCGAGATGAGGAGAACTGACAAGAAACTCAACTCGTATTCTTTTCAAATAAATGTTGTATATTATATAAAAAAATACATCTATTAAAAAGAGCAACCCACAAGTTTCTTGCTCATTCTTCTTGTGATGACTGATATGACTATTCAAAAGTGCTTGTAATGAGTTTATTTGAATAAAGATTATGTCTAAAAATTTCTTTCTTCTAATTTCATGTTTAGAATAGTACAGATTCATTCATATATGTTCTTATATTAGGGATTTTTTAAGTTCATCTATTTAAAATAAAATCATTACCCTTAATTAAATAGTATAAAATGAAGTCGTTGTCGCTGTCTGTCCGTCCCTATGTATGCTTAAATCTTTAAAACTACGCAACGGATTTTGAAACGGTTTTTTTAATGGATAGAGTGATTCATGAGGAAGGTTTATATATATATAATATGTACACCCGTGCGAAGCCGGGGCGAGTAGCTAGTAACATATAAGCTATTGGAGGCGTCAGGGAGTGAAAGAGTGGACTGTTATAGATTCTCCAATGCGTTTATTACTAGAACTTTATATTACAACGCTTTAGCCCGACATTAATAATACGGAACGCTATGAAAATAAACTAAAGATGCGCGTGCGGTTGATACGGCGTTAAAAATCAGTGTGTCGCTGAGTGCGGCCGGCAGCCGGCCGCAGCTATATTGTCCGACGCCCCGCGCCCCCGGGTCTCCCCGGGGACATCATCGCGCTCGCTGTTTATGGCTTGACCATAGACTCCCCGCGTTGAAGTGCCAAGTTCAAAGCTCTTGACAGGCAGGGGGCATATGGTATTGTATGCCCGGCGAATGACACCCCTCTTCGTTTGGATGTCTGCAACCCTTGCTACGCCGTCTCTTCCAGGCAGGACACGTACAACGCGTCCCAGAAGTCACATCAAGGGGGCAGACGTCTTCTCCTTGATAACGACGAACATTCCCTCTTTCAGCTCGCCATAGGACCGGTGCCATTTGGTTTTCTGTTGGAGCCATACAACATACTCATTAGAAAATCGACTCCAGAAGTGTTGCTTGAGTAGCTCGATGCGTTGGAAACGCTGAAGAGAGCTAGCTCGGCGATTGACGATATCAGGATGCGGCAAACAGATCAGAGATCGTCCAACAAGGAAGTGAGCAGGAGTAAGGGGATATAAGTCGGATGGATTATCAGATAGAGGTGTGAGGGGGCGAGAATTTAGGATGGCTTCTATTTGAATAAGAAGAGTAGCCATTTCTTCATAGTTTAAGTGAGTCATGTCCAAAACGCGCCTAAGATGATGTTTTACGGATCGCACGAGTGACTCCCATAAACCACCGAAGTGAGGAGTGTAGGCAGGTATGAATGAAAAGTTGATACCTATTTCAGCTAAACCCGAAGTCAAGGATGATTGTGTGAGAAGTTTGGAGAGCTCATGGAAAGTTCCAACAAAGGTCGTGCCGTTGTCCGAGAACAGCGTCTGCGGCTTACCTCGACGTGCTATAAACCTGTGTAGTGCTGCAATAAAAGCTTCTTTGGTTAAATCAGAAACAAGCTCCAGATGCACGGCCTTTGTGGCTAGACACACAAACACACAAATATATGATTTTATAAGTTTACAGCCTCTACCTTTGCGGTCAGCTATCAGCATTGGTCCAGCATAATCGACACCTGTTTCTAAGAAGGGAAATTCTAAATGGACTCGTTTTTCTGGTAGGTTACCCATCAAGGGCTGGACAGTCTTCCCCCTGAATCTACTGCACCTAACACATGAACGAACTATACGTTTCGCTAAAATAGTGCCGCCTATTGGCCAATAATTATGTCTGGCGGTGGCTAGTAGTAATTGTGGACCAGAGTGCATGTGTTTTTTATGAAGCATTTCGAATATTAATTCACATAAGCGATGTTTACCTGATAGAAGGATAGGATGTTTGACGTTGTAGTCGTAGTGAGAATCACTAAGCCTGCCACCCACGCGGATGAGGTAGTCAGGACCAACAAACGGTGTCAATGACAGAAGTCTATTTTTATGGGGTAAATGCTTATTGAGTAATAGTAACTCACGTTCCTCAGGGAATGAATCCTGCTGAGCTGTACGTAATAGAACATTTGTGGCATTATTTAATTCTAATAATGACAAGTTATTGTTTAATTTACTTGCATTTTTATGGCAGTTATTAATGAACCTTAAGACAAATGCAAGTACACGTTGTAATTTTGTAAGCGATGAAAATTTATTTATTAGTGATGAAATTAAATTGGTGTTATTATTATTTATTGATAGCTTGTTATTAATATGGAATGTTTGAATTGTTTCTGGTAAATTGGAAGTGTATTTATTTGGATTAGTTGGCCATTGAGAGGAATCTAATTTTAAAAAAGCAGGGCCTGTCCACCACAACGAGGAATTACCTAATAAATCTGCTCTAACACCTCGAGACACTAAATCTGCCGGGTTGGATTTGGTAGGTACATACCGCCAATAATGACAATTTTCTTGTATTTCTAAAACTCGGTGACGTACGAATGGTTTAAGATGGTTTGGTGGAGAAGAGAGCCAGCCTAAGACGATGGTAGAATCAGTCCAAAATACACTACGACTAAATTCAAGAGTAACCGACGTTATTACCTTCATGAATAGTCGTGCTCCTAAGAGCGCGCCACATAGTTCAAGTCGTGGAATGGTGGTGGTTTTAATTGGAGCTATCTTATTTTTGGAAGCCAAAAGACGGACATCAATTGATTCATCGCTAGCTATACTTCTTACGTATATGCATGTACCATATGCCTTCTCCGAAGCATCTGTAAATATATGTATTTCTGTTTTATTTGTTTTGTCGTTTTTAATGCACCTAGGAATTTCAAGTTTATTTAACTGTGGTAGAAACTGTATAAACTCTGACCAAATAATTTCTATGTCTTTTGGGACCCTTTCATCCCAAGAGCATTTATGTATCCACAATTTTTGCATTAATATTTTTGCTTCAACAATGCATGGTGATACTAAACCTAGAGGATCAAACACTTGCGAAATTGTAGACAAAATAAATCTCTTTGTTACTTTATCTTGCGGTGTAATATTAATAGAAAATGATAAATAATCAGTTGAACACTTCCAATAAATACCTAATGTTTTTGCACATTCTTTTGCACTAAGATCTACGCTACTAGATATCTCATTATTTTGGTTTATACTATTTAAAATAAACAAATTATTTGAATGCCACTTTCTTAAATTAAATTTGGCTGAATTAAGTGTATCAATAACACCTTGACATAATGATATACAGCCTTCAATTGTATCATGACCAGACAAAAAATCGTCAACATAAAAATCATGACAAATAGCGCGTTTTACTTGAGAATCACTGGACTCATGACCTAATTGTGTGAGACATCTAGTGGCTAGAAACGGCGCTGATGCCGTGCCGTAAGTAAGTGTATTTAGGGTATATGATTTAATTGGGTGGGAGGGATCGAACCTCCATAATATTTTTTGTAATGGACGTTGTGATTCATGTAATAATATCTGCCGATACATTTTTTCAATGTCGGCTGACACAACAAATTTATGTTGTCGAAAGCGTAATAATATAGCTAATAAATCGTCCTGCACAGTAGGACCTACGCGTTGTATGTCATTAAGAGACTTGCCTGAGGACGTAGGGGCAGAACCATCGAATACAACACGTAGTTGTGTGGTTGTACTAGTTTTAAGAACGCCATGATGTGGCAAGTAGCATTGAATTGTGTTTTTATTACTACTACATGTATCTTCATTCAAATGTCCCAGATTGGCATATTCATTTATAAATTCTATATATAGACGTTTCAAATGTACGTCTCTTTCTAAGCGACGCTCAAGGGAAAGAAATCTATTTTTTGCAGCATTATATGAATTGCCTAAAACGTCAGGAGGCTCCCTGAGCGGCATATAAACTACAAACCGTCCATCTATGTTACGCTGTGTAGAATTTATAAAATCACGTTCACATGCCTGTTCTTCTGGAGTGAACTCATAATTTGATGTAATTGTATCTAGTTCCCAAAATCGGGTTAAGTCGGTATGGTCGTTTGAAAACATACATATATGTTGTTTGGGACTAGGTTGAAAAATGCTACCAGAAACCAACCAACCGAGTTTGGTTTCAAAAAGAGTTGGCTTGTGCTTGCCTAGTTGGATACGATTTGTACCGATCACATTCCAGAAGACGTCCGCACCTACAAGGATATCAATGGATGACGGCACGTTGAAATTTGGATCGGCTAAGCAAACCCCAGGCGGTATTTCTAAGTTATGCACATCTATATATGTATTTGGAAGTAAGGCAGTGATGTTAGGTAAAACGAAACAATTGATATCCGTCCTGTAGCCACCACAATAAGACTCCAATGTAAGAGAGCATGACAATGAACTCGTGGATACCTGATGATTGATGCCTGTTACTCTTGAATTCGTAGCGTTGGTAAGAAGATTGAGTTTGGCACAAAATTCCTTTGTGACAAAGTTTCCTGTGCTTCCATTGTCTAATAAGACTCTAGCGGCATGTGATTTTCCATGGCCGTCGAGCACCTTGACCATAGCTGTGGATAGCAAAATATGGTTTGTGTTAATTAAAGACTGAGATGGTTCAGCAGATAACACAACGCTGTCATGTGCGACAGGCTCATTATGAATATCGAGATGAAGAAGCGTGTTGTGTTTGGATTTGCAATATTTGCAATGTGACAATTTACAGCGTGATTCGTGGTGACCAGGCCGAAGGCAATTTAAGCATATTTTGAAGGTCTTAGCCTTTTCAATACGCGTCTCAACAGGAAGCTTTCTGAAGGCATCACAATTAAATAAATAGTGCTCATAAAAGCATAATGGACATGAAAATGATTTATTTTTACCTGAAGAAATTATAAAGCTATTGGATTTATGAATATGATTAGATTCAGAATTACCTCTGTTATTTTTTGCCTCCTCCAAAGTCTCCAAAAGATCTGCTCTGTTAGTTAAAAAGGTTAAAAAAATATCTAAAGTAGGTGGATCGTTGCGATTGTTTCTGTATTCCTCCCATTCCCTATTTGTGATAATATCTAATTTAGTTGACATCATATAAATTATTAAAGTATCCCAACTTTCTGTAGGTTGGTCAAGCGTAGCCAAAGCTTTAAGATTTTTATTTGTGACATCAACTATGTAACGCAAGGCTTTACTAGACTCTTTTTTGATGGCATTTACATTGAAAAGGGCGTGAACATGATTGTTTACAAGCAAGCGTTTATTATCGTACCTCTTGCACAACAATTCCCATGCGGCAGCATAATTCTCAGCCTTAAAATCTAAGCTTTTGATGACAAGGGCTGCACTGCCTTGCAAACAAGCACGAAGATAATGAAATTTGTTTATGTCGTCAATGACCGTGCTGGAATGAACTATAGAAATGTAGGTATCGCGGAATTCAAGCCAATGCTGGTAACTGCCATTGTAAAAAGGTAGCTGTATCTTGGGAAGACGTACGAAACTATTGTGTTTGTGCGCACAAGCATCATGAGAGCTTACCTCGTGATTTGAGGAATGTGACGAAGTTGATGATGACTGGCACAGGGTTTTAGCAGTCGCGACAGCCGAGTAATACTGGTTCTCGAACACGTCTCGTTCCTGATACCTCTGATCAGGATCGTCAGCGAGTTCCTCGATCTCACCCTGAAGATTATCAAAGTCAGAATATAGTAATTCCATTTTATCAATACGCGATTGCAGTTCAAATTGAATAGCTGCATTGCTAACAGCGGAACTTTCTTTTAAAATATTAATATAATTGCAAAAATTTGTAAGTTTACTTTTAAATGTTCCACGTCTTTTAATTAATTGATTTAGTTGTGTTGATTTAGATTCTGACATTGTAAACGTTAATTAAGATGAGTTGAATGAATACTATATGATGAAGTTGAATTGCAAATAAAAGGAAATAAAAAAGAATAATTATTTTTATTTTGTTATAGGTGATTGTTTTAAATTACTATTTTTATAAAGTAGCAAATAGAAACGATACTAATCTGTTTAATGTTTCTGCACCACGCTTCGCAGTTTTAAAAAACAGTAGTACAAAGTCGAACTACCGAACGACCTAGGAAAAAAAAAAAAACAAAAATTAATACACAGTAATAGAAATATTGTATACTTATTGGTTATTAGTGAAGCAACTAAACGCAGACTAATGTTATTAATTGCATTTCTACTATTTACAAGTTGCAAGATCAATTATTTGTTTTAAGGTTATAATGTTATTAATTACGTTATGATTTTATGAAAGAATGCCACGTATTATGGTTATGAATATGATATTGATTGTGATTAATTCGTTAAATGACTGTGTGTGATTAAAATAATAATAAGATTTGCTAATCAATCACTATCTACGCATTATTATGCAGTACTACGCAGTACACTATGGAATCACGCATATATATACTATGACTGCAAATAACTAATGAAGTAAATGGCAATAACCTTTTATGGTTTGTAATGAAAATGATAATTATATGAATGGTAATTATGATGGAATGATTATGATAATGGAGAAGTTAAAGTGAAGATGATATGAGGATGGATGTGTAAAGATAAGATAATGGAACGATCTCACGGTCTTTATGCACTATCCATATAAGTAATCCTCTTCTTGTTCTTCTCTTAGTGCGTTGTAAGACCCGTAGAATTCTGGTCGGAAGACTAAACAGCAACGTTGAAGTGCGCAGTTGAAAGAAGCCAGTGCGCAGTTGAATGAAGCCAATGCGCCGTTGAAAGAAGCCAGTGCGCCGTAGATGCTGCTTGCGTCGCAATAAAATTCCAGTCGTCCAAGTAGTGGTTGAAGGACCAATTTGGAGGCGTCAGGGAGTGAAAGAGTGGACTGTTATAGATTCTCCAATGCGTTTATTACTAGAACTTTATATTACAACGCTTTAGCCCGACATTAATAATACGGAACGCTATGAAAATAAACTAAAGATGCGCGTGCGGTTGATACGGCGTTAAAAATCAGTGTGTCGCTGAGTGCGGCCGGCAGCCGGCCGCAGCTATATTGTCCGACGCCCCGCGCCCCCGGGTCTCCCCGGGGACATCATCGCGCTCGCTGTTTATGGCTTGACCAGCTATAAATTTCATGCGGATATTACCGCAAAGGTAGTGCCATATACCTAAGTTTTCAAAGAAAACATAAACAAAATTCAAAAGAAGCTTTGTACCTTTACAATAGTCGAGGTCGCGTCGCTCCCATTTCTCTGTGCAATAAAATAAGATAATATTATTAGGGGGACCAACCCGCGGATCCGAAAGCAGCGGCTGTCAAAAAAATAACGCCGCACGTTTAAAAAGATATATAGTAACGAGGAGACCGTACGTGCCGCGAGGGGTTCTATTCTGTTACATTCTCCATGCGGTTACACCGGAAATGTAATTAAATATTTTCAAGAAAATCATGTTCATCTCATTTACATATATATATATATTTTCGGATTACTCTAATGCTGTTAGCCGTAGCTGGCCTTTACAGCTTCACCGGACGTTAGGGGGCGAGTGCCGATGGCACTCCAAACCCGCGGAAGGACTTATGGAGCGGCTGAAGGCCAACTCCTGCCTTACGGATACGACTTTAGTCTGAGGACACCACTAGGGGTTCGAACCTCGGCTCAGGCCGTCGTAATTTCCCGTTTGAATTGGTATATATATATATATATATATAGTAGTTGTCAGTTTCACTGTCAGTGCATTTATGGGTATTAGACAACTGATACAAATGAAACAAAACAAAATTTTGTTAACTAGTATTTATCATATACACACGGTGGTCTAGAGGTTTATCACACCGCCTTACTTCCGATGGTCGCGGGTTCGATTCCTCGCACGACACAAGCATTTGTACTCATGAGTATGATTGTTTGTATCGGTCTGGTTTCTATAATATGTATGTATTTACGAAAAAAAAACATATCTATGTATTTGTATCAGTAGTTTAGTACCCATAAGCTTTGGGTAGCTTCATTTAGGTGTAGATGGCGCTGTGTGAATTGTCCTGAGATTATTTATTATTATTATTATTAAACTGCCTTAAAACTGTACTTTGACGAAGTTACGATATAGAATTCGTTTAAGAAGATATTCATATTGAGGTTTACAGAACAACTCAGAATCCATTCAATTTCACGTCTCTAGCAATAAAGTGTGATTGTCACGCACGTATACATTGCATAAAGCTGCGTTACTGGCGCGGGGGTGAAACGAGGGGCGGACCAACCCCAGTGGCGATTAACGCACGGAGGGTTTTTGGGAAAAAAAAAATACAGTTTTCCGTCATGCTTCTGACTCGACGGAAGTGGCCGACGTTTTATACAAAATTTTGTAGTAACTTAGATTTTTAAATGTTTAGCTATTTTCGAATATATCACAGCGCTGTCCAGTCCCAAAATATGCAGCTTGTACTGTGGGACAATATAATAGAGGACCTCGATGGTTTAGCGGTTTTGCATACCGCCTTATAGTCGCGGGTTCGATTCTTCACAATGCTATAGATTTTTTAAGTACAATGTACAACCCGTCCATCCCAGAGTCTGTACTCAATTTGCGTTCTCAATTTAAGTGCGTAACGGTTTCCATGTTGATTGTCGCATGCCTAATCCTTGTTGTTAATTAAATCAATATTTATTTAAAAGAGTATCACACAAGTTTCTTTCTCATTCTTCTTGTGATGAGTCTGCATTCCGAATGAGCGGTAGAATAAAAAAACTTGAATATTCAAAAGTGCTTATATTAAGTTTATTTGAATTAAGATTAATTCTATTTCTATTTCCATCCAGCTAAACCCAAGCTTGTAGTCGCGGGTTCGATTTCTTTCGATGCTATAGATTTTTTTAGGACAATATACACTCTAGCCATCTAGTCCCAAGCTAAGAGCTTTTGTTATGGGTAAATAACAGCTTTAAATACATAAATATATGTTTTTATTATTATATAGATAGGAAACACCCAGACCAATACAAACAATCATACACATGAACACAAAGTTTGTACGCGAGGAATCGAATCTACGAACACCCAAACCAATACAAATAAACATAGATAAGAATAGAAAGTTTGTACCGCGCGAGGAATCAAACCCGCAACCATCGTAGATAAGAGCTACACCGCTACACCACCGAGGGTATCAAGAATAGAAATACATGATGTATAATATATCAGGATACTAATTTTTTTTAATATATATTTTATCTTTACATCTCAATCCCATAAGTAGAACGCGAAATTGGTATGGCGGGCTTGTCTGATGTATGTCTGTGCATAATGATATATAGTGACAGTGGCAAGACTAGTGTTTCACTTCACCCCATGCATTCTGTCTGTCAAGTACAATTTATTGCACCTGGTATTACGAATAATTGTATTAACGTAAAAATAGTTGGTAATATTGAAATTACACAACATCTATACATATTACCAAAATTGGAGTGTCATAAGTTTGTAATATTGAAATAACCGTTTTTTACTACATGAATATAAATGCGGTACATACACCAAAATAATATTTTTTACAATTTTTGTCTCTCTGTCTGTCTGTCTGTTTGTTCCGGCAAATCTGTGAAATGGCTGAACCGATTTAGACGGGACTTTTATTTGTAGGTAGGTGATGTAATAAGGATTAACATAGGCTACCTTTAATTTAGAACAATAAAGTTAAATTCCACGAGGACGAAGTCGAGTGTACAGCCAGTCATATATATATATATATATATATATAACACACACGCCGGGACTTTTATTGGTCGCCCGGGTATACGTGTATTATATATATAATCATTCCTCTAGAATCACTCGATCTATTAAAAAAACTTTTTAAAATCCGTTGCGTAGTTTTAAAGATTTAAACATATATAGGTGTCCCTATATATGTTTAAATCTTTGACAGCGACAGCGACTTTATTTTGTACTATGTAATGATAAGTGTGCGAAATTTCATACACCTCCAATCGCGCAGTTTCCTAAAAATGGGGCACAAGGGTTATTAATTCAGGTATTAATATAATGGTGATAATTTACACAGTATCTAGTCTCATGTTAAGCAGAGCTTGTGCTAAGGGTACTGGACAACATCTATAAATATGTAAAAAAAAAAGTTTTTTTTATAACACAGGGGACAAACGTGCATGCGGCTCACCTGATGGTAAGTGATTACCGCCGCCCATGAGCACCCGCAACACCAGGGGAATTGCAAGCACGTTCTCGGCCGTTTAAAAAGGAATAAGCTCTTTTGTTGAAGGTTTCAATATCGTATCGGTTCGGAAATACCATTAAAGAAGGAGGAGATTCCACAATGTGGTTGTGCGTGGCAAAAAGTTTCTAGAAAACCGCACTGTGGAAGACCGCCATTCATCCAGATGATCAGGACGGTATTTCAGTATTATTAATACATACAAACTATACATTTAAAATATCCAGACCAAAACAAACAATCATGCCCATGAATACAAATGTGTGCGTTGTGCAAGGAATCGAACCCGTGACGCTCGGAAGTAGGACGGTGTACTAAACAGCTGGATCATCAAAACCGTCCTATTAAATATTTAAAGTTACATACATTAATTTAGTTAGATAAATAGTATCTGAGGTTCATACCCATTATTCTTTGCAAGTTGATTTTGAACTGTACAGCTTCACCGGACGATAGAGGGCGAGTGCAGATGGAGTTTGAGAGAAACCCGCGGAAGGACTTATGGAGCGGCTGAAGGCCAACTCCCGCCTGACGGATACGACTTTAGTCTGAGAGCACCGCTAGGGGTTCGAACCTCGGCTCAGGCCATCGTAATTTCGATCCCCATTTGAATTGGACGGGGGATCGATTAATAAGATGAATATTCAAAAGTATTTGACGACCTCGGTGGTCTAGCGGTTTAGCACACCGCTTTACGTCCGATGGTCGCGGGTTCGAT